TTGGCGTGTAATTCGTTCCTCTCCACACATTTTCCTGTGACAACTCGACAGCCCACAAAAAGACTCCAGCCCAATGAAAATTATCGTCGCTCGTATCTTGCAAAAGTATTTGCCGCTTCCTTACCATTTACTCCTATTATTAATTAATATTTCACAATAATCTCATTCTAATCAATATTTTCTCTTCATTACTTCTTAATAGATTTTACGAGAATTAGTTGCGTTCTATCTCATATGTGTAATTTTAAATAATATGGGAAATGTTTTTCCCCGAGTTAAATACATAGAGAAGAACAAAAATGCGAGCTAACAGAGAATGTTTGCACGTGTCTTTCAATCACAATTACAATTGTTTTTCAATTTAAATTAGAATTTTTAATGTTTTTCTTTCTACTTTGAATTAAAATAGACACCTGTTTTTCGAAATGAATTAAATTTTTCGATTAAAAGAAAATCACATAATATTTTAGTTCCTCTTGTTTAATGCATAAAATTATTGAATGAATGATTTTTCATTCTCAATTTTTCTTTAAATGGGATTTCTTTTATTGATTTTAGGAAGTAATTATTAAGTGAACAAAGCTTTTTATTTACCATTTACAAATATCTAGAAGGCTATCATAAAGATTTTATATGATAATAAAATTCTAATTTCTTAAGAAATAAATTGATTTACTGTGTTACTCCAATATGTAATCACTTTTTCATCTTATTTTTATTGTGAACTTTTTATAGCGATTTTATAGCTAAAGGTTTTTACGGCATCTAATGTTAAATATCATAAACAGTTTTTAGGATTTTCTTAAACTCCATCTATGTCTCAGTATTTTCAATAGAAAATCTAGCAGACTTCATTTATTTCCCCTGCATGAAATTATTTCCACAAAATTTCGATTTTTTTGTCGGAGAGAAAAAATCACTGCTTGCATTCAATAAATTTCTATTCTTCGTTGCACTGATTTATGACATACATTTGTGAATATTTCAATTGATTCTGCTAAAGTTTCTCCTTCTGTAGCTGCTGGATTTAATACGAATTTCTTTCAGGGAGCATCATTCTATTTGATTTTCTCTTTCTTTCATGTATTCGAACTTCAAAAAGCGATTCACTTACATATTAATGATCAGTTCCTGATTACAGTGCTGTAATTCACATGTAACTGTATTTCACATATCTTTTAAAATTTGGGTATCCTAAGTATCTACAAGTTATCGTATTTTACGCCTTCAAAATAATATAAAGTTTCTTGCAGTAGACATCTGCAATTTTTCTTTCTCTTTTCTGTCATTATAGAACATACCCTCAATCTACCGCTTTAGTATTGAAATCTCCGACGAATGAGGCAGAACGACATCATTAAGTTTTTTCAATTTTAAATCTATACACATTATTATGCCTATCACGGTACTACTTATCGAGACGATGCCTTCCTAGTCGGTATATAGTCGGTGTGCAAATTCTAGTTTCCCTAGTTCGTGTATTTTAAGTACCGCCAACGTTTAGTGTAACATGTCAAAACTTTATTTGAGAAATATTTCAAATTTTATTAAATGCTTTCCGTTATTTCTAATGCAACAATATTAAAATAAAAAAAATTCTTCAAAGCTATACGTATATACATACATATGTAATTGTCTGCATCACATTGTACCATGTAACAACCAAAATGGTTTTACATAAAGTTTAAATATTATATAAGAATATCAAATTTTTTTAAATAAAAAATGTTGACCCGCATCTTTCCAATTAAAATCTAACCTTTGATTCTATAATAGCAATATAATCATTATAAATATTTGACCTTATATGCATGAATAAGTATATACACATCACTCATATTATGAAAGAAAAAAATTACATTCCGTTAAAAATTACTATAATGTCAGTATTCTTTCAAAATATTCACCATATTTATTTAAAACTAAAATTACTCTGTACCATAGAACTAGAATATTAAATCTCTAAATACAATATTATAAATTAAAAAGTGAAATGTTTTATTCAAATTTCTCGATAATCTTGTTGTACTTCTTATAATCTCAATCATATTGCATTTTTCAATAGAATTGATAAGAACTTCATTCAAGAAGAGGGCATATTTTTAATATAAGAATTATAAGATTTTTATTAAAATCGTTTTTTTTATAAATATAATTATATATATATACACATAATATTTATAGTATTATTGAGCTTATCTTTTAAGGGAATAATAATTCATGCAGCAACTGGAGTATGAAAGTGGAAAATAAATTGATAATTATATTATTTTGTATATGTTTTAATGAAATTTACAATAAAAATATTGACTTCCTTGATAAAAACATAAAAAAAAACACATATTATTATGTCAGAGTAACTGATACCCTCATTGTCATTATTATAACTTTCTGATATATGAGTATATATATATTATGTAAGTATATTCCATGCATATTTAAATTAAATTTTATTATAATTAATAATTAATAATTTAAGAGTTAACATTTTTGAGTTTCTTTTCTATTTATTTGTCTATTTTATGACTCAATGAGGTGAAATTTGAGATTAAAAATAAATTAGTTGTACAGATGTGGGTTAAAAAATATTAATTTATAATTAAAACAATTATTAACAATTAACATTGAGAAAAATGTGGGTAAAAGGGATAAAATTTCTAAAAAAAAATATCTTTAAATATTCTTACATAATATTACAAGGCAATGAAAGTTTTTTTAAGTAATAGTAGTTTTTTTAAAATAACCCACTTATTGTTTTGAAGGTGAATTCTGAATATGTACTCATGGTAGGTAATTTTGTTACGGAATATTCGGAAACAATACTCATAATTCATACTACTCATAATTATTACATTATTCTGGCCCCTCTGTTACTGTCACTTATTTTTTAACTAAAATTTTTGAGTCCATTTTAATCTGTGGTTTAGAGTCTTTCAAATTGGAGCATGTTAATAGTATAACAATATTTCTGAGCATAATACTTAGTGAAACTTTATAGGTAATTTAATTATTTTCATCACTTTAATTATTTCAATGCAACAAATAACTCATAAATCAAAATATAATATTAACACATATTTTCATATTTTTATTGTAAAAATCAAAGTATTACCCATCACTATTTCTCCTAATCATAATCTTATTTACATTGTATTTGCATAAAAAAAAAACAAATAATAAATGTAACAAGCAATTCTTCATAATCTACAATATACTAAATTATTCTTCTAATTCATAATTAGTTCAAAATGTCAAATAAATTATAATTTAATTAAATTATTTTTATTATATATAAATTATTAACAGAAACTAAATATTTTAATATTTTTTACTCATAAACACAAAATAATCGCAAACATAAAAAAATATTATTAATCAATTTAAAACAATTAATAATAACGTAACACTAAAATAATTTAAAGAGAGAAATAATATTAATTTATTTTCACTTTCATAATATTTTGCAGACATATGATAAGATAATCAATTAAATTATTGACTCACACTCAATTCAATTCAATTGAAGAATCAGACATTTAATATGTATGTCGCTTAGAGTTTTTTTTATATGAGATTGAGAATTGAAACCTGCTGAATATAGAATAATATTGTTACACTCTCAAACAATCTCAATTATGAAACTATCTAAAAATTATAAAGTAACAGTGCTGCCAAATAGATTAGCCCAAATATCTTAATTTTTTTTTTAATAAAATCTAAATTTTGAATATACTTAATAAAAAAAAAACAATCTTTAAGAACCTCGGTGATATTCAATTGAAATTCAATTGCAAAATGGAAACCAAAAATATCACAATTTTAGTTCAAACCAAATGAGACACCAAAGAACAAAATTAACGACCTGCATAATGACGTATGTGCATTTCGTTAATACACCAAATCATTTAATACAGAATTAATTGCAGCGGAAAAACTGAAATATTTTGTGGCTGTTTGGTAAATTTTTTTTTTTTTGTAAACTGTTAAAAATAAAAGTGTGATTCTGAAAAATTTCAGTAGCATTTAAAAATCTTAATTTTTGTAATAACAAAATATTCTTATAAGTAAAATTTTAAGTGTGACCAAAAAAATCTTCAATTTAAAGATAAATTTTCATTTTTGGTAGCTCTATATACTACGTTAACTAGAGAGGTACTGTTATATCCTTATTCTTTACCTCCCAAAATAAAAACTAAAAATAAAAAAAATTCTCTTTTAATTATATTACACTCCAAAAGATTTGAGTCTCAAAATTGTTTTTTTTTTTTTTTATTGAGAATTTATTCTCTGCTCTATATAGATAGTGTTATCAAAAAAAAAAAATAAAAATAAAAATATGAAAAATTTAATTTTTATATTATTAAGATAGTGGAGATGTAGATTATGCCACCATGTGATTATTTTATAAAATACTCACGACTCTCCAAGTTAGTTGTTTTATTTTTTGTGTTTTTTTTTTTATGTTTCTTCCCTTGAAATATTATTATGATGCCTCTTCTTCTCCATATCATCGACAATATTAATATTTTCTACATTATAATTTAAAAAATATAAATTGATAATGTATTGACAATTTTAAATTCAGTTGGTTTTTAGCATTTTCCCGGTTAAATTCACGATTCTTTTAAAATATAAATACGTGTAATATTATGTATATATAAAAATGTGAATTATATTTTCCGCTCTTATACCGTTATATTATATAAAAAAAAATTTCTTTTATTATTAATTCATTTTTAATTAATTAAATACAAAAATTTGAAGTGAAATTAACGAAAAAGTGTGAAATATAAAAAAAAAATTAATTTTTTTGTTAAATAGAGTGGAGAAATTTATAATTAAATTCTTTGAATATTGCATATATACTAAAAGAATTAATAATATAAAAAAAAATTAGTTCAATTTGTTTTTTCTTTTTTTTGTTCTTTGATTTTGCTTTTTGAAATGAAAATTCAAATACAATTTATATTAATTAAATTTTTATTAATTATTAAAATTAGTGAATCATATTATTCATCTAATTATAATGATACAACTAATGAATTACCGTATATATTTTATACTGAAACTTTACCAACAAATATGAAATTTATGCCAACATTATCAAATGGTCATATTGGTTTTACAATATTTGGTAATTCAATATTTATGAATGGTGCATATAATGGTATACATGGTTTAAGTCATCGTGCTAGAATACCAAATTATTCAAATTTAACTATTACATATGATAACAATTATAATAATAATAATAATAATATACCATTAAAAAAATCATATAGTATGAATGTACATAATGGTATATTTGAAATAAAATATGAAAATTCTGATATAAAAATAATACAATTAATTTATCCACATCGTTATTTTAATCGTTTAATTATAAATCAAATTTATATTCATCGATTAAATGCAAAAGGTATATATAAAATAAAATTTTTAATATTTTATATTAATTTTAATATATTTTATAATAATTTATTTAAATACTAAATAAATAAGTATAAGGGATTTGAGATAATTATAAACAATTGTACCCATGTTACCATTTCTCTAAAATAGTTTTTAAGAATAATTAAGAACAATTAAATGATTGCAAATTGAAGTATATACAATAAACATTATCTTATAATTACGGGCAGTTATATAATTTCTAAAATATAAAATAATTTTCAGTAAATTTTGAAAATGGAGCAAATATTTAAATTAGAGAATTCAATAATAATTTATTGTAAAACAAAGTTTTACTTTATTTTTTGTTTAACAAGTTATAATACAGCATTATTGCAATTAAAATTTAATTTACATACTATGTAGTATTCTTCAAATAGTAGTATATTTTCAAATTCAACTTCAAATCAATAAAAAATATTCCGATTTAACATAGAATATGGTGATAATCAACCGTAAATTCAAATATTCTTTGTATATTTAATAATCCTATATTTTCCCTATAAAATACAAACATTAAACAATTTTTTATTTTTGTTATTTCCCCATTATGAATCCTTTATATACATAAAATTATTGCATAATACACAATCATATTCAAAATTTTAAATTAAAAAATAAGCAAAAAATAATGTTTTTTGTTTTTTTCTCATGATGATTCTGATGATTCTTCTTTTAATGAAAGTTCAATGTCAATAATACTTTTTAATGAAATTGTAAATTTGACCTAGATTCGGGTAATAATAAAATTATAAGCTTTTTATATTTTTTTTTTATTTATAATGTTTCTTATACTTTTTATTATTATTATTTTTTTTTTTTTGTTTCAAATAAGAAAAATTTATTAATACATTATTTTAATATATGAGATGAGAAGAAGTGTGCCGTAATCAATTAACCGTCTGTTATATATATTGGTACATTTATATGTTCTCAATCTATATTCATTATTTATAAATAATTTTTGTATATAAAATGTAAAAATATAAAATTTAAAGAATATCTTTTATTAGAATATTGAACTTTTTGTTTTATTTTTATTTGATATACTTATATATATAAAAAAGAAACTTTAAAGTATTATAAAAATTATATTATTTTTATAACATATTAATTGGAATTGGAATATTTTCCTGGATAATTATGATTTTTTATTCTGAAATATTGTTACATAAAATCCATCTAAAATATTTTACAAAAATGTATGTTGTAACGTGTAAGTGCATCCATTAGTACAATGAATTAGCGCATCTAAGTGTGTATGCCTTCTATGTTAGAGCAAATTTCGTGAATAACAAAAATAAATTTACTTCGGTACCTCATTATCGATTAAAATCGATAATGCAGGCGGACACAAACTATATTGCACAAATACCTAAAAAAAAAAAACAAAAATTAATTATAAGTTTTGCAAAAATATCATGTCTAAAAAAATTTTTATAAAATTTTGATTTAAATATTATATAAACAATAAAAGTACCTATAATTTATAATTTTTTGAGATTCTGTGATAATAAAATATGCCTTTTTATTTGACCTTTTCTATGATTCCATTTTTTTTTGTTTCACCCAATATACAAGAGGCGAAAAGAATATTAATTTAAAATAAATTTAATGATAAACCTATAAACAAATAAAATTATTTGACAACTTATTATTATTAATGAATAAAAAATTTTTTAAACAACTTTAAATGACTCTTTAAAAATATAATACTAAAAAGTGTTATAATCATTATTAATTAGTAAATATAATCAGAGATTTTCATTTAAACATTGCAATTAGTATAAGAGTACATAAGTCATATACTCACTAAATATACTCAAATTTAATTACGAGTATAATCTTATAGTTTCATGTAACTAAATTTCTTTCGGGACTTTTAAATTAGTTAAAGACTTTCGAAATATATTATGTATAAGTTCTCAGAAAATATTGTTCTTTAACTGTATGTATAGAATTTTATAAAAACGAAAATGATAACAATTAATTGAGAGTACTGTAATAAGAAAAACAAAACAGAAATATTACATTTTAATATTAACAATAGGATATTGACGTCATATGGCTATTTACAGTTATTTATAGTAAAATAATGAGCAAATAACTGATGTACATATGCTTTTTTATCCTAATGAAAAAAATAAATAAACAAACTGTTCTCTGGAACAAATATTGATCGATATTTTGTTTTATAAATAAATGAAAAAAACTGGTATATTGAATTTCAATTTAAATTTCAATATTTTAATATTATAATTTATACATATATAACATATACATATATATTCAATTTGTTTAAAAAAAAATATTCATGAAATTTAAATAAAATTCAATACGTTCTAAATGCGAATTAATAAAATAATTTGAAACTGTTATATTACAGTTATAGAAATTATTAAATAATTTTTTTTTAAAGAACTGTCAAAACACACCCACCAATGACACAGATGTTTTTCCAATATAAACAAAATTATTGAAGTATTTTAAAATAAATAAAATAAATGTACATTTCCTTCCGAAAATCTGCCATAAATTTAGATATCGAAAGTTTTTCGCGAATTTTTACCCAATTTTGCAAAAAATAATTAACGAAAAATATAGTATAATCGGCACACATTTGTTTATTTGCCTTTTATATTTCTTAAACTTGGCAAATTATTATTTAATAAATTACTCAATTTAAATAGCTCAATATTGAAAATTGAGTAAACAAAATATATGGAACCAAAGTATTTTTATATTTACTTAAAATATTATGTGAAATAATTGTTTTAATAAAATATAATTAGAATTATAAACATTTTTATTTTTGAAATGTGAACGTCATTATGGCTACATTTTGTTAATTAACCTCAACCCAACTCTCTAGCATATACTTATATTTAAAAATTACTTGTATGTATGTATATACATTAAGCAAAGAAAGAAAAGCTGGTACCTATATTATTTATTTTAAGAGAATTTTATTGAAATTTGAAAGAAAACGAGAAAAAAAATAGAGTTGACCTTGTCGACTCTGTGATATCCGTATGAATTTGCTATCCTATGTGCGAATAAAGTTGTCATAACTAACTATGGGACAAACTATGACTTTAAGTTGCCGTATTACCATATTAATTTATGCAAAATTTCAGTACTATGTGTTTTTCAAAATACTGTGTGTGCCAAACTTCTATTGAAGTTGTATGGCAGCTACCAGAAAGAGTCAAGAAATTTTAACGAATTTTATCAAACACATTGGCCCTACTGAAATATTCGTTTGTGTGGAGTTTCAATACCACAGTTTCTGAGATATAGCCAAATAAATTTTTAAGTTGTACGGCAGCTACCCAAACCGGTACCCCGATCATGTCCAATTTAAATATGGTTCTGTCACTTATTACAATAAATCATTTGTGATTAAATTTGGTGAACTTAGCTCAATTAGTTTTTGAGTTATCGTTTGGACGGACGGACGGACACACAAAGCTAAATCAACTCGGATTTTGACGCTGATCAAAAACATACACTTGAGTCTATATCTAAGACCGTTATTTCTTAGTGTTACAAACGGTAAGGAAAATTTAGTATACCCGTACGACCGTATGGTACGGGTATAAAAATAACATTCGAAATATTGAGCGTATTTAGGTTATTGTTAATGTTATTATTTAAAATTTAAGAATCAACACAATATATATCATCATCTTGTGGCACTACAGTTGTCACCTTTTTTATGTACGGGACATATTATTTCAAGGTCCCACTGCCATTCATTTCTTTTTGCTCCCAGACTCTACATATTAGCTTGTGTATTGTTTGGTGCAAATCTCTTCATCCTGCTTTAAACAGCTCAGCTGTTAATTTATCCTCTCCAGGCGCCTTCACATTCTTCTTTTCGATGTCTCACACATCTTCATAATGGTACTTCACATTCTTCTATAAGTTTTTAATAGGAAGGCGGCAGTGTGAGGGGCTCAAACTCAGGCTGCCCAGAGTCTTGTTTATTCAGCAGCTCTTTAAAGTATTCAGCACATCTTTCCATAACATCTGCGTCGTAATCTAAAATCTCTCAAGTATTTTTTTTTTGCAAATGTGCAATTTTGGTTGGAAAGTGCTATTTTAATACTTTTTATTTTTGTAAAACTTCCTTACTTCTTCTTCTTCTTTCGACAAAGTTTCGTTGCAGTTATTCTTTTCGATTTGTATGCTTCTTGACTTGTTCTCGTATTTCTTTGTATCGTTTTTATTCCAGATTCGCATTCTTTGTCAAACTATTCTGCATTTCTTACTAGTGGTTTATTTCCTAATACGGGTCGTGCTGTATTTGTCGTAATATTTTCTATTCTCTCCCACTCTTGACTCACGATTGGTTGATCATCGTTTTGTATATGTTTTTACGCTCAAAAAAAGGAACGTAACACTTAAGTTGGTTAACTTGAGCTTTACGTCGCATTAACTTAAAATTGTAACTTTGTGTTAGGAATACTATATATTATATTTGTGAAGGTTCAAAACTATTGTTCTGACATAAATTTATTATTAGTTAAAATATTACAAAATGAATTGTACTCACGTATTATACAATTCTACTATAGGTTCAATTAAAATTTTTACAATCACTTTAATTTCATTATCTTTGGTATTGCTGTACAGAAAAAAAAAAAATATTAATTGAAGTCAAGTATGTAGTTAGTTTGGCAACCTAAAATATTTTTACTTAATGTACGAAAAAAAAAGAGAACGCACAAAAACAATTTGCTCAAAATTTGACTTTTTAAAATTAAAGGTTTTTCCTTTGTTTTTTAATAAAAAAAGGAACAACTTGTTACAAACCCTGTAATTTAAAAAAGTCAAAACTAAAATAATGGTGGAATGAAGCTGTTTTTGTTTTATTTCAGTTTTAATACGCAAATTATTGCGATAATATGCACGTTCTCTTTATTTTAAAGTTAATGTACACAAAATTTTTAAAACAATGGTTTTTTTTTTGTAAATAACAAAGAAAGTAGTAATTTGATTTTTGAGTTTTCATCAAGAAAATTATGAATAAAAGTACTTAATGATTGTTTCTTTTGTTAGAGTGTGTATGTACACGTAAATGTCAGTAATAAAATTAACTTTTAAGTATCACTTTTCTATAATTTTCTAATGGATATTAAAAATTCATAAAGCCAAAAAAAAGAAAAAAATAATATTTTAATATACTCAAAATTTTGATAGAAATCAACCTAAATTATATGGTTGTTCTGCTAAGCTTCTTATATATAAATGTGTTTATTATCATAAAATTTTTATAAAACTATCTAACTATATATACATTCAAAAAAAAATTCTATATACACTTAGTTTTGGTTTACCGAATTTATTGTAGATAATAAGGAGAGTATTGTGCTCGCATCAAATTTCATTATGGCATTCGTATAAATATCATGTGTCATACATAATTTTCAAAATATAATTACATATGTATATATATTTTTTTGCTTTAGAAGGTTAAGAAATTTAAAGAAACTATTTCCAATAAAAAAAGTCTGTTGGTGTGTCTCGGTACTAGTTCACTTTTTGTTTTGGAAAACTGAGTTTATTTTCATGAAAATCCTATATCTTAATTCCCTACACGAAAGTAACGAATTAATCAAACTTTTCTATTTATTGGGTACTGAAATAGTGCTATAAATTTTTATGCAGTAAAGATTTACGCAGTGAAAGAGCGTTAAAAATTTTTAGGCAGTATCCTCCGTCCCCGTTCCTACTTACATTTTACTTCTAAAATCATGCAATACGGTATGAATTAAAACTTTTTGAATAAAATATATATATATTTCATTTATTTAGCCCTACATTACTCAATGGTTCCTGATTTAAATTTGTTAAAGAAAAACCATGTATTTAATTGAAATGAAATGAAAATTGGTTCAATTTTAGAAGACGTTGAAAAATTGCCCCTGTTCTAATGGAATATTTTCTGATAATATCTTGGGGCAATTTAAAATAAAACTATATAGAAAACAACACGAGTAGAATTACTAAAATTTTAAATAACATTTCAGAAAATATTGTCTCGTTCAAGTAGTGTTGTCCACATTAACTCTTTTAAAAGTAAAGTTGATCTGATTTTAATTTTGAAAAAATAAAATTAGATAAAATCCAAAGACTTTGAGCAATTCGTTATTTTACACATTTATTATTTCTTCTTAAATTAAAGGAGAAAACTAGAGAACAAAAAATTAAATTAAAAAAATTTTCATGTTTTAACTTCCGTCTGAAAAATTTCCCCCTTTTAAAACACAAAAAAAATAGTACAGTTTTTCTTTAGAGTTTTTGACTTACGATAGCCCTCTGTTACTTACATATATGTATGTTCATATTATTATATTTTTTTTACCCCATCCATTATTACCCATTTCCTATTCTGTACAACTTTACATTGAATCAACAACCTGTAATATGCGGTTTAAATAGTTGAATTAATGGAACTTTAAAAAACATTAAACTAAAAACAAAGAAAACAAATATATATAAGATGATCTCAACTATTTTACATTAACATAATTACAGCACCTTACATATAATTATTATAAAGAGAACATAAAAGTTAATACGTATACATACATGCATATATATGTGCTCATACTTTAATTACTGTGGAACATGCCAAGTTTATTATTAAATGACTACAACAATAGTCACTGCACAATTTGTAGATTGCTGAAGAAATATGAACAAAAGAACTTCTCTCCTCCAACCACCGCGGCCAGACATAGCTTATTGTAGCCTTTCCATATCCCACTTAATCTACCCCGCTTCCAAGTAAATAACCGAATATATAACTCAGCGAGTAGAACGTAAGCTCTCCGACACTGCGAAACCCCCGTCTAAACAATCTACCCCTTTTCACAGCCAAAACAAAATAGTCACACAAAATAAGTATGACAGTCTACTCTTCGCTCCAGAACAAAAGGAAGTCCAATTTTCTCAGTTTGTGCAAGTGATATTTCACCAAACAATGCCCAATAAAGAAGTCAGTAATAGTACGATTTCGATCCATCCCAAGCAGCCATGAGGAAAACTTGTGCCCGCCGTGCCAAAACACCCAAATGAGCGCCACTAATACTAATGTTCCAAGTCTTGCTAACAAAACTGCTCGCTCGCAAAGTCGTCGTTGTTCTTTGGATGACCCTGTATCATAAATCCTGTATGATTCCATGAATTATCCCAAATACTTAACTCATTAATTTTTCCGTTCTGCTTCACTTTGTGAAGGCTATCATTAGAAATGGAGTCCTAAACTATAACATGACCTTGGTCTATTTAAACTTTTCTATCAAAATAAAACCCTTCGAGCTCATTATTCGCTACATACTCAATAGTTATATAATTATATGCAATAGATACTCAAATATTATAGCAGTAAAAATTGAAATTCTGTAGAAAAATGATATGCAAATAAATCGGTCATTTAGAAATTGAGGAACAACCTATGGTGTGACACTACAATATCAAAAATGTACTGGTCATCAATTTACTGTTAAATTCCATTTATTCACACTCTCTAGCACGATAATCTCTTGAATTGTGTTTTCTATTGCAGCACTCTGTTGTTCTGCTTCTTCTATATTAAACTCGCCCGAAAGAGGGTTATTTAAGCTTTAACGACTTTACCAACATTGTCGAATCTTTTGCCGCTTCTTGTTTACCGATTTGTGAATATCTCTTACTTATTTCTCTTCTAACTTATTCTTTCCCTTTCTTATTTATAAGAAATTCTGCAATATTTATCCCTAAATAAATTTAGACACAAAATTACTACATTCATTGTGTAAAGCATTCGTACCTACTGGAATAACATATTTATTGGAATTTCCCTCTTGGTGACGATTTCTCTTTTTATTTTGGCTGCTACCTGTTTTAGTCCATGATCTCTTAATTTCTCTTTTAATATAAACAAATCCTCTTATCCTTTTTTTTTTGAATAATATCAATTAAATAATTTATTATTTTATTAAAAAAAAAACCATAGGTAAACTTAGAATAAAAATTCAACAACAACCTGGTCAAAATACTGATGATATTGATTTTGAACCAATACAAAATTTAACAATAACAAGAACAAAACGTAAAATTGATCAAAGTAATAATGATGATATTAGTATTGGACAATCATCATCTTCATCATCCAATAAACGTAATTATGGCAGTATTAACAACAATAATTATTTTTTGAGACGTCATCATGACATCTATAATTTTATGAAATCTCAAGAAGGCGTCATTGGACAAGATCCTATTGAAGATAATACTTATTACAATGGTAACAACAATAATGATGATTATAATAATAATGAAGGTAAGTAGATACAATAACATTAATAAAAATTAAACAAAACAATAAAAAAGTTATTAATATTTAGTGTTTTCAGTATATGTATATCGCAAAACATACATATACTTAACATGTTATTAAAATTTGTACATAAACAACTTACCTATAATAACATATTTTAGTAAGAGAGGTATTTAATAGCTTATTAGCTTTTTTAATGGAAGTAATAAGTAATTAGTCTTATTTTAAGAATACAATATAGAAAAACGAAAAGAAAAACAAACAATGACATCATAATTCATGTACATACATAGTTAATTGCCGAATTAACTAATTCGGCTATCTTTTAATATTTTTTGCTTTTCAAAGAGTTCCAAACATTTAATCATTCTTTAAACGCCGAATGAGAAAAATATTGTATTTAAATTCTCTCTTTCTCAATTATATTTACTGTGTGATACTCGCTCATGAGAGAAAGAATTTTTATCCTAATTAAAATAATTCGAAAGGTCAATTTTTGGCAAAAAATTTAATATTTACCCCCTATTTGCTATTTGTTAATCCCTTCAATAATTACTGACTATTATTTAAAACGTTTGATGCTATTTATAATGCCATGTACATAGAAATTTCTTAAATTGAATTCAAATGGTGTTGTTAAACATAAAGTCAGATAGACCGAATCAAAGCGAAACTATAAGAAAAAAATTTATTGTTAGTATTTTATAACACGGCATTATTAAAAGCAAAAATAATAATTTAAAAACATGAAAAATGTAAAATCATAAATCACCTCCTTTAAGGTGATTTTTATGTTCTGTTTGTCAGTAGCTTCTCTACTGATTTTTATCATTTTCTTTTTTTTTTCATAAACTCACTGTTCTTTTATAACAACCTGTACATATACCGTGATCTACATACATACAGATAAAAATATTTTCTTGTATTTTTTTTTGTTTTGTTTTTTTAACTTAATTTAAAATTCTTGATTTAAATTTTTTTTTTTTTTTTTTGTTATACAATAATGTACGAGAAGTTTTATTTTTCTTTATTTTTTAAAATTTTCTAAATTCAGTTCAACTATTTTTTTTTCTTTTTAACGTCTTATATAAAACTCATTACATATATTGAATTTTTAATGTGCAGAAACATTACATTTTGATGGTATTAACGGTGCTGCTACAAATAATAATAATAATAATAATAATGGTAATAGTAATGATGCCACAACAGTACTTCATTTAATACGCGGTTATACAAAAGAATTAGAAGATGAAAATTATCAAAAATCAAAGAAGCATATCTGTTGTATATGGAATCATGTTCCAGAAGAGATAACATTAAATGAAGAAGAACACTATGTTTCTTACAGATTTCAAATGGCTGTCGATGAACTTTGTAGTGTAGCCAAGCAGGAAATGAAAGATGGTAAGTCATTCTATATACATGTATTTAATAATAATTTTAATAATATAAAAAATTTCTCGCGTAATAATTAAAATTACATTTTTTTTTTTTTCGTTTTTTATTGTTATCTTGTATATTATTAAGTATTGCTTTGATTTGATCTATAAAATTTATAAAATATGAATATCTTGTATATCCTCATTAAAAGGACCCTTAAAATTTCAAAAATATATTGAAAAATAGGGACCTTATTATTTGAGAAAAATTATTTGTTTTGGATATTACTTAGTGTAAAAATGGCTTAAATCTGAAAATCAATGCGTTTTGATACTCAAATTAATTCTTCGACAGCTTAGAGTTGTTGAAAATTTAATATCAAACGAAATTCTTGACTAAACACTGTAAGAGTCATATAAACTCGCTTAATATTTTCGCCCAATTTTTTGCTTTCTTCTCACTCTGTAAACAAAATTTTTAAGGAGAGCCATCTCGTAATGAGAAGCTGACATACACTTTCTGCGAGTTTCTTCCTTCTCGATTTTTATTTTTTAATAATTGAAGCATTATTTTAATTAGGTTTTTCTAATTTTTGAAAGTTCAATAACATATGATTTGGATAATGAATCAAAGACTATTTTATGTTGTCCTGAAAACGATAATTGTTTAAAATTACAATTTTACGTTATTTCTTTAAATATTTTTGATTATATTCCATTAAAGTAACAAACTAATATTATTCTAATTTTTAAATTAATAGCATTCCAGTATACATCAAAATCGCTTATAGAATCAAATGCCGAACAATGGAAATCATTTTGGGATAAATTTAGTATATCAATAACTGGAAATCAAGAATTGGTAATTCAAAATTATTTTTTAAAGAAAAACAAAAATAATTTTCTATTTTATATTTTTTTCATAAAAATTTTCCCACATTTTAAAATATAATGAATGTGTGTGAAAACAACAATACCCTGAATGAACACATCATCATTATCACTACCATCACAAACAATCATCAATAGGCAAAAACAATTTATGGTAGCATATTTTATTTAGCAAGTTCATTGCCATCATTTGAAAGCAATCAACAAAATAATCCATATTATGGTTTAAGTCCAACTGGTGTTGGTCGTGGCGGTGATAACAGAGCAATTGACTATCAAGGACATAATTTTTGGGATACTGAAGTATGGATGCTACCAACCGTAACACAATTTGATACAAGATGGACACGACAACTATTAAATTATCGTTTTAGAATGTTGGATATTGCAAAGGATAATGCAAGAAAAGAAGGATATGAGGGTGCAAAGTAAATTTTTGTTGTTGTTTTGTTCTTTTTTTCTTATTCTATACCATTATCTTGTTTTATTTAGAATACTTTCATGTTAAAATATTAAGTTTTATATTTGTTAGTTAACTTTTATTTACCTTCTTATTTTATTACTAAAATAATATTAAAAAATTTATGTATTCATAAAAATAATTTGAATTTTAAATTAAAAAAAAAATATTTATACCTATCTAGATTCCCGTGGGAAAGTGCATTCACTGGAACAGAAACAACGAATCCTTGTTGTATGGAAGTAGCTGAATTTCAACATCATATTACTGCTGATATTGCATGGGGAATGCAAAATTATTTTTCAATTACATATGATATTGAATGGTTACATAATGAAGGTTTAGTTTTAGCTGAAAATATTGCAAATTTTTGGAAAAGTCGTGTTAAAAGAGATGATTCAACTGGATTATATGATATTAGAAGTAAGAAATTTTGATATTTTGTATATTTTATGTTGCATTTAAGAGTATAGATACAGAACACTTTTAATAACTGCGATTAAGCAGCTGGAATGAATGTCCTCTTGAAATATTTTGCTATACATGCATCTGAAATGTTATACAGTAATCATATTAAACGAGTATACCCTTAATTGGAACATAAACACATAGAAATAATTAAAAACATCAAAAAAAAATATTGAAAAATGCAAATTAATTGAAATATTTAATAAAATAAATTTCATTAATTTTGATAGATGTCATGGGACCAGATGAAGATCATCCAAATATTACAAATAATGTTTATACAAATGTTATTGTAAGTTATGCCTTAAAATTTGCTGAGTAAGTTAATAATACAAATTGTATTTATAATTTTATTAATTGACAAATTATTTAATTAATTTTAAATTAATTTAAAAATTTTTATTATTACGTTAAATATAATTTTAATTCAAATTGTAGTTTTGCCAAAAATTTATGTTCAAATTCAAAACGTATAACACAATCAGAATGGTTAAGAATTGCACAAAATATGAAAATTTTATATAATAGTACAATTGATTATCATCCACAATTTGAAGGTTACGAAATTGGTGAACCAATAAAACAAGCTGATACTGTTTTATTAGGATATCCTTTAATGTTTCCAATGAAGGAGTAAATATATCTATCTATATAATGTTGCCATTTTACTTTTATTAAATAATTATATTTTCTTTGTAGTTCAACACGTCATAATGATTTAAGAATTTATGAAGAAGTAACACGTAAAAGTGGACCAGCAATGACATGGGTTATGCATACCATCAATCATATTGATATAGGAAATTATGATAAAGCAGCAGAATTATTTAATAAAAGTTATAAAAATTATGTTAGGGGTCCTTTTCAGGTTAGTTCACTATAAATATTTTCTAAAATTTCTATAATGACTTCAAATATGCAATATTTAGACTTCATTTGATGAATACATAATTAATTTATTCCATCTTTTCTTTATATTTTATCTATACATAAATTTTATATTAGTTTTTAATCTTATTTAAAAAAAAAAAAAATTTAAAAGGTATGGAGTGAAGTAATACCAGAACGGAATGGTGCTGTTAATTTTCTTACTGGTTCTGGTGGTTTTCTACAATCAGTTATAAATGGTTATGCTGGTGTACGTATTTATTTAGATCGTATGGAAATTAAAATGCCACATTTACCACCTGGTTCAACAAAATTTTCAATTGCAGGTAAAAATATATTTTTTTATATTTTCTTCTAGCTACAAAATTATGTAAAAATACATAATACCTGTGTAATAAAATTTTAAAAGGTTTACATATTAATATTGTATATATCTAAATTTTAATATTGAGTAAAAAAGAATTTGAGTGATGGTTGTTGGTTGGTACTTAAAATGTATGAGTTCTATTAAAACTATTAAAGTTTCTCACAAAGATATTTTAATGCATAATTTTAAAACTACATACATGATGGGTAGATCTTATTAAATTTACATGCATAACTATTTCTTTTAAATTAATATTATATAAGAAATGTTGATAGATTTTGCTAGGTTTAGTATCCAATTTTCTAATTAAATTAGCCAATTTATTACTTTCCCTCATAACATTTCTAAAAGTGATGTATAAATTTTAGGAATTTTGTGAATATTTTTGAATAGAACATAACGTTTTATCTTCGAACCAATATGGTACTCGTAATTTGCAAATCTGCATAAATATAGCCTACTTGTTTATGTAAATTTAAGTTAGTTCCATTTTAAAAAATTGTGCCCTATGGTGTATATTTATTCCACCACTGAGATAGTTTACAAACAAAAAATTTTTCAAAAAATATTTTAATTTTAAAGTAAGCTCAAAAAGAAAAATTCTCCCAATAGAATAAGTTCTTTGCAAAATTAACTCGGGGGTTAAGTTCTAATTCTATATAATTAGACCTATATAAATATGCCGATGTAAACAGTAGCGAACTTATTAAATTAATTTGTATTTAAAAATTCGGAGATAATTTTAATTTACTTGTTTACAAATAAAGGCTTTCAATTATTATAGTAACACAAAATTCAAAAATTATATCTCACATTTATAAATACATAATTGTATATATTTATTTTAGGTATTAAGTATCTTGGATCAACATTCAAAATTACTGTGACATCAAATGAATCGTTAATTCAATGTACTTCTGTTAATCCTAGTCATCCATTAGTATTAAATGAAATGGATCTTAATGTTTATCAAATAACAAAAAATTTTATTTGTAAGTATTAAATGATTTGCTCGTATATTAATTGAATTGAAAATAAAATTTCCAAATTTTTTACTCCATATATTATCAATAGTTCATAAATTAGAAATTCTTAATGATTAAAATAATCATTTTATTTTCAGATTACTTTAAAGTGCCAAAAATTATGATTAAATCAACTAGAAGTAATTTCAGAGATTGGAGATAAATTAAATAATGCCTTTTAGATTAAAATAGATTTTAAATGAAAAATTATTGATTCACTTTTTTAAAATTTTAAAATGATTTTTGTTTTTTATCACAAACTTGTATTAAAATTGTTAAAAATAAAATTTATTTTTAGTAAAATAGCGAATTCGATGCCTCAGATTGTTTCTATACCTAAGTGTTCATACACATAGAAAGATATATTTGCGATTTTACTCAAACAAAGTGAATCTCATGATGTATTCCTATTTTTTGACATTGTAGCGTATTATAAATTGTGGAAGTATAATAATTTTTATATAGGATCTAAAATAAAAACGAGCTCCGGCAAATTTAATTTCATTATAAGGTTGAATAAAAAATTTTGCCACTTTGTGAAAATTAAATTTTGCATTGCAACTTTATTTGTCACAATGGACTCAAGATTCTATAAAAATTGAAATTTTCATTAAATGAAAATATTCAACGAAAATTACAATATTTATAATTAAAAACTAAATAACTATTTAAACTTGGATGTACATACCTGAAATAATTTTATAAATTCCAATTTAATTCAGTTAAAGACTATTTGTTTTTGAATTTCTTATATTTACATATTTAATGTCTCAGAATGTAATTTTCAACAAATACAACATAATAAAATGTACTTTCTTGATGTTATCTCAAATATTCCCAAAAAACTTTGCCTAAATTCTAAATTATGCATTGAAAATAATATAAATAACGACAATCAAAAAAAAAAAGGTCTAAAAAATATACGATTAAAAAAATTAGTAATAACTCGACGATAAACCTAGACTTTTTAAATATTCATAATTTATTTGTGTTTCGAGATAGATGTTGGTGTGATATGTTGATGAATTTGTTTCCCACCGCTCAAAACAACGAAAGGTTGTTGCGTTTCTTTCTGTTTTTGTTGCAACATAGTTAAAGTACCGAGAGGAGTATCGGTTGAACTCATGGTTTTCATTAACTAAAAAATAAATTTTTAATATGTTTAATGGTGACTCTTTCTTAATTTCACTTAAAAAAATTTATTAGGAAATTAATTAAAGCTACAGACTCACGCCATCTTGTTCCATTTTCTTTAGCCTTTTTTCAATTTTATTTTTACCAGGACCTTTTCCATGAAATTTATGTGATAAATAACGGAATGCTTCTTTTGCATTTAAAATTCTGCCATTATCGTCAATATACTCTAATTTTACATTTGGTTTAAAATTATCTTTATCCTTAAAATCTGATATAGGACCATGATATCTGTCACGACGGCTGTATCCTTTATCGTCTTCACTAAAAGTTAAAAACATAAACGTTACTATATTATTAGAATATGTATTTTCGCTAATATAAAATTTAAAGCTTACTTATATGATTTATCATCAATTGTGTAGTTTTTAGCTTGTAAATGTGCCATTTTAGCATTGCTAGGGCGATTACGCTCTTCCTTTTCTAAATAACCTTTTGACAAAGCTAACCGTAAAGCAGCTGCAACTCCAGATCCGACATCAGGTTCTTCATCTAAAATTGCCACATCTTTGATATCATTTGAATTTTCATCTTCTTCTAGATCCATTCCTCGTGTATTCAAATCTGGATTTACCGAATTCCACGTTCCAGTAATACCTGCAGAAGTACTTTCTGCATATTTCATATCATCATTTTCGCGTTCCATTTCAAAATCCTAAAAATTTATAATAACTTTATTACATATTGTAAAATTCGTTTGATTTTGGTACAAACCATCATATCATTCGAATCCTCATCTCTATTTCCAGACATACCATATGTTGGAATGTCACCAAGTGTTCTGCAAAATTCAGCTGTAGCATTCAATGTAATGAAACCACTTTCTTTAGTTCCAGTCATTTGGTCATCTTCAGGAGTTTCTTCTTTAATTTCTGGTTTAAGGAGATTTGGATCTATAGGCAAGGGTTTTTTAATAAGTGCTTCCTGCTGCTTTAACTTTCTGGCTTTTGAAAGACATCTAGCCAAATCATCTTCATCATCAACTTCAACTTTGATTTTTGATAAATCTTCATGTACTTTAGGTGTATCATCCGTAATTAGTAAATCTTGTTGTCTACCTCTTCTTGATCCAAAGTCACGTCCAGTAGGATGTTGATCTGCAAGTGGTAACAAATCATCAGCTTTTAGTTTTTGCCTTAATTTTTTCACTTTCTTTTTTGGCTTTTTGAATTTAGCCAACTCAGTTTCTGTATAAGTGTCCCTTGCAAGCTGTAATGCAGTATCTTGTAAGCTTTCCAATTTTTTCCCAGATAATTTTGTTTTTATCTCTAAGAGCCGTCTTCTGTTCTGAATTTCCTCTTCAACGTTCTCACCAATAGTAAAAGTTTTTTTCCTAATATCCTTGTCAATTTCTTCATCATATTTACTCAAAATACCTTTGTCAATTGGATTACCCCATTCATCGTATTGTTCTTCATAAACATCATACCCATACGATAATGGATTAAGGGCCTTATTTTTAACATTTTTTCGATAGTGTTCATTATCGACCATGTTAACGTTTACCAAAGCGTCTCCTTCTTCATTTAAAACGTCCTGATCTTTAAGAGTTAAAATTACAGTTTTACCTTCTTGGAAATCATCAAGATCATGATCAACGCGTAACCCTTTCAAATCTTTATCTTTATAGGCTCTTGCTTTCCGTTTTTGATTTTGCTCTTGCATAATATCCGATATACCAAAATCATCATCAACTTCTGCCAGTGTTCTAGCCCGCTTTTTCGCTTCAACCTTTTCTGTTTCTCTTTTCTTAGAACGCTCAAGCCAATTGTGTATATCATCCACCTCATCATCTGAATCTCCCAAAGTTTTAACCTAAAAACAATTCATAGTAAATATTAAGCATTAAGTCTTATAAAGGCAATACATTACCTTTTTTAATTTATGCTCAAGTGCTCTACGTTCCTTCGCTGCCTTGATCTTTTCCCTCAATTTTTCGGTTTCGATTTTGTCCGATAAATTATTAGCAGGTTTATGAACGAATTCTCCCCAGTCATCTTTATAAGCGATTTCATCGGTTGCTTCACTTTCATTATCATCTTCTGCTGAAGCTTCTGGCTTTTTTTTAAGCACGGGACCGGAATTTACTTCAAGTGGTTTTAGACCCAATTTCGCTCTTAGTTTATTTGTTTCTTCAATTGAAAGACAATCACCAGCCCCATTCTCTGGTATAGGTGAAGGGGAACGCGAATCCATAGATACTTTTGGTGGTGGAGGTGGTGAACGAACTAAAGGAGGAGACGGTGCTGGAGGAGTTTCGCTATGTCGTCTTTTTTCACTTCCATTACTTTGCGTTATTACTGGAGCAGGTGGTGCCTCTAAAGGAACTTCCACACAATCGGAACCTGAAACAGAAAAGAAAAAAAAAATTCAATTATTTAGGGAAAATTTTCTTGCAATTTCTCGGAAATCACGAATTTTGTTTTGATCAAACGAGGAAGGGCCTTTCCATTATATTTTCTATGTGTATCTATTGTGTTTTCTGTGTTTACAGTGAATACTTACAATATTCACTTTTATCGAATAAAAAATCCAAACATCTGCAAAAGAAAAATACAATGGATGGTTTAAACAATTCAAATTAAAGCACAGATTAGAAAAGTGAATTGGTTTATTCTTCTTTTTGATCGCTTTAACATCAAAACACTATTCCAGGAAAATCTGCGCAACTTTGTTTAAAAAAAAATTGTTTCATACTCTATAAAGTTTTTACTTACTGTCACTTTCATAATCGTCAACCAATTTAGATCTATCCCTGTATTCATCTGTTTTAGATCTACTACGATCCCGATGCCTGCGATGATCGTGATGATGACGATGTTCTTTGTGCTTTTTATGAAGTCTTCTCTTTTCATATTCTCTTTCCCTTTCCCTTTCCCTTGCTCTATCTCTTTCACGTTCACGTTCTTTTTCACGATCACGAATTCGTTCAAGTTCTCGTGCTTTCTCACGTTCACGATCCCGTTCAACTTCTCGTTCTTTATATCTTTCTCGTTCTCTTTCGCGACCCCGATCTCTTTCTTTATCCGTAGATCTAGACCTACTATTATTTTCAGATACAATAATTATCGATGAATCCGAATCAGATTCACTTGATTCTCTTTGAATTTTACGGCTTCTACTGTGAGTTTCATAAGCCAATGCATTATCAGATCGATGGCGAATTGTCTGAACTGTGTCATCAGATACAATAACTCTTCTAACGATCCGTTCTTGAGAACGAGATCTTGATTTAACTTTATGTTTATGCTTTTTGGAATCCTTTTTATGTTTTTTAGTACTAGAACCCATTTTTTGGGTTATTAATTAGGTTTTTTTTTTTTGTAAAAATTTATTTTGCGACTCTATGATTAATTTTATTGACTTTTTATTAACCTCTCTTTTAAACGTTTATGAAAATCCAAACGTATACTGCTTGACAGTTTATCAATGTCAAAAAGCAAATGTCATATGCCGCGCTATATTTTCTATTGTGGTCGATATTAAAAGTTGTAATCAAAATGTATCGAAAACTAAACATAATGAATTCACAATATGAATTCACAATTTTTTTACTTCTTTTGATGTTAATAACCTATTCACACTACAGGAGAATAAAATGTTATACTTTTCGATTAAAATGTTACAGAAAATTGGATTCACGCTACATAAACTGTTTTCATTTAATATATTATCCGAGAATGACATGTTATTCGTTGTTGTCTAAATAGGGTATAAATGAGTCAAAATACTGTTTTTGTCTGAATTAAGTCTTGCAATATTTAGATTGAAATAACTTTCAGTTATTTTAAGAGCTACTAATAACATTCACTTATTTTAGTAACTTTTTTTAATATATTTTACTAGTTTTATTTTTATTTTGATATTCAAATATGATTGATATATTGCCAAACAGCTCGTTTTTCGGACTGAGTATATAGACCATTACAAATGTTAAAATATTTGGCTTTCAGAATTTAAAAGAAAAAAGCGTAATTCTAACAAATCCTTATTAAATTTCAATGGTCTTGTGTTGATTTTTAAAAAGTATTGTTGCTATTTTTAATCCTGTAAATTCATGTATATTTATCATAGTCATAAAACTTTAATAAAAAAATCTGAGCAAAAACTGAATAATGATATAAAAGTGAATGTATAAAGGAAAAAATTAAAAATTTACTTATAAATTCACTAGGAAAATATTTCAATATCAATTATTTTCACAAAATATATTTTAAAAACTTATTAAATTGTAAATATTTAATCCTAGATGTCCCTAGTCTCAATTTAAATATGTTGAAAAATGTACTTCTGATATTTCTTTTAAAGGAAATTTGAAAAATTTCCCCTTAACTTCACGTTGGTATTAATGGTATTTTGACAGTTTTGTGGTTGTTGTACTTGTCTACTGCTGCTTTGGTTTCGTAAAAAAGAAGAAAAAAAAAAGAGATTTTTTTTTTGAAGTGTTGATTGTGATCGAAAAAATTTTATAAACAAAAGAAAAATTCATGAAATTAAAAATATAATTGGAAAAAAATTTATTTAATTAATTTTAAGGGATATATACATTAATTTATTAATATAAGATGTAAGTAATAAATTTGTTTAATAGAAAATTTTTACTTAACAATTTTCTTAACGCAGACTTTTAGTCGCCAAAAAAAAATTTTTTAGTGCATATTTGTATTAGTACAATGGCTGCCAGCCAGAAGTTGTAAACCCATGTATAAAAAGTAAAGAAAAAAAAATTCAAATTTCTACAAAAAAAAGTTTATTTTCTCAATTTAAATTTAATTTGAAATGAAAAAGAAGAAATCATTTATTATTTTTAAAGTAAAATAAAAATAATCAGAAGAAAATAGAGTAAGGAGAAAGGTAAATTTTACCTACCAAATAAAATTTTTTTTCTTGATTTCCGAAATTAGGCGGAAGGAAGAATTTTTAAGATTATAGAATATATTATCTGTTGTGTTCTTACATTTATTTATGAAATAGAGGGAAGAATACAAGAAATCTCTTCCAATAGTTTTAACATAATTTTTTAATGGAAATTTTAGTTATTCATAGTACATAAATCACATAATATTGAAAATATTTCGGATTTTTTTTTTTCAAAAAATTAAAATTAAAATTAGTATTTTTAATTGATTTTATTCAAATATTCATCAATATATTTCAAGCCTACATTGTAGGTTTGTTTCTTAAAGGGCCAATAAAACCAAAAAAAAAAAAAAACTTTGAATTAATTCACGGTAGCAAGTTAGTAATCATTCTGTGAATTTATTTCTGACTTTGCGCAAAAAATTTTCATTTCGTTGTCATTCCGGGCCCCTTTCCTCTTTACTCTTTTTAAATATTTAAGAACATATTTTTATATTTTTTGTAAGAGAACAATAAAAATGTAAACCTAGTTAAATATTATATTCTATGTAGGTAGAGCTACATAGTTAAATACATGTTATTAAATGTATTTTTTTCTAAAAGTAAATTAGGTGCCTATCTGCAAAAAATAAAATTATGATTCATTCAAATTAAATACTTATTATATTTATTTTCTCGATTTATTGTAATTATTTAAGTTATGATTTTGATTATTTAATTAGTTGTTATTTTCTGGTTTAAATCTTCTTTGAATTCATTATGAAAATATTACAGAAATTCATTTGAAAATAAATCTTTGTAGGTGATTTGGTACAAGTATCTACCAAATTACCTACAATTTAATAATCCAATTAAAGATAGTGTTCCTAAAAATTTAAATAATTTTTAAGATTCAAAATTTAATTTAAAAATTATAAATTTTTATTAAAAAATAATAATTAATTTACCAATTTACCTATGTACCTACCAATTTACCTACGTATAGAACAAATTCCTAATTGAATTGCAACTCTTCATAATTATCTTGAACGTTGTACATAATCTGTACTCATATTTTTTTTATATAAAACATACCTATATATATATATACATAATTAAATAACTAATTATATAAATAAATAATATAATTATAGTTAAGTACTTATATATTAATTTGTAAAACATATAGGTAGCTAATATGAGAAAAAATAAAAAAAAAATAGAAAATAAAATAAATTTTTTTTTTGTTATTTTTGATAAGGACACCAAATACTACAAAATATTCATAAACAACAACAATAATCGCAATAATAAAAATAATAAATAAATAGAATTAGGTAAATTTATATGTACACATTTAGAAAATATTATTTTTTTTTAAATATGTATGTAGGTAAAAAATAGCTATAGAATTTAATATAAAATATTTGATTAAAACTCTTGATATCGAAATCAAAATTTACAAAAGAAAAAGCATAAAAAATAGGAAAAAACATGAAAATGAAAAAAAAAAAAAAATAACAACAGGAAATGCTTGATTATAAAATTATTGCTTTTATTATTTTTTTTTTTATTTATTAGTATACACGTATGTATATTTGTTTAAGCATTAGAAATGCATTCTATAAATATTATGATTAGTTAAAGATTTCTTATGAAATTTAATGAATAACTTTTATGAAAAAATAAAGAATTAGAAAATTTTTAATTATTATCTATAAGTAGGTACTTAAGTAAAAGCTAGAAAAAAATTAGAGATTTTGTAAAAATTTTTTATGCTAGAAAGGAATTTAAGTATAAAAATATTCTAATTTAAAAAATACCCACATAAATATTAAAAAAAAATTACTTTTGCTATGTACCTATAATAAATATTCTTCATTTATTTTTAGTGCACAGTAAGGTCTCTTTTTATGCGGTCTCATATTTTTATGCAATTTTTAAAATTTATACGGTTTGTATTTAATCAACCATACCTATAGGCTTCTTTTTGACAATTTTCGTATAGAAACTTCAAAAAAACATCTGAAGCACTCAAAATTTCACATACTTTGATGGATTAAAAAAAAACAGCTACATAGATCTACTTTAGCTCTTTACATATAAATGTCATTATTGATATAATTTTATAGTTTTCTTTTGCAATACAGGGATTTCGCTTGTACACTATACATAAATGTATACTTACCACCAATAAGTCGCTATTATACTTATCCACCTAGAACGTATCCACCACGTAAAATGAGATCTTACAGTATATGGGAGCTTATTTTTCTTTCTTATAGAAATATAGGTATACTTATATTTTCTTGAAATCATTAAAATATTATTAAATATATTAGAATTACAAACATATGAACTTGTAAAATAAGTTTAGGAGTATTAGTATTTAATTAATTACAAGTAAATTACATTGATTTTCTTATTATTAGTACACATAATGTTTTTATCATTATTCTATTTTATATTAATTAGAAGTAATTTAAGCATTTTGTATTTTATTTTTTAATAAATTAATTTTTTGGGGTCTTGCATATTTTATTTTTAACTCAGTATATAACTCAACACAGTATATTTTACATTCTTATATTAAAAAATTGCCAAAGTGAAGCCAAGTAAATTACTTTCATAAATTTAAATTTAATTTTAAAAAATAATTATAATTTTCTGCATAACTACAGAACTAATGTAGATGTGCTAACTAAATTTTAATAATTTCTATACTCTAACACTAAGATAGAATCTTAATTTTAAATAATATGTATTTTGAAGTACAAGATTCGAGCTCAAACATTTCATACTTGTAGCCACAAAAGTATAATTCTTGATTCATAGTAGCATTGTTAGGGTTCCAAATACAAAAAAAAAAAATTTAATTTCCAAAAAATTTTAATTAACTTTTTTATTTTTTTCATTTTTATTTCGTTTAAGAAATTTTATTTCGTTTAAAAATAAAATCGAAATTTCAACATCAAGTTTATAAATTTGAAAAGTGTGTTCGTTCTACATTTAAAAAACAAAATTTGATAATTTTTGCACAAATTTCAATAAAATTTGTGTGAAATTTTTCTTTAAAAAAAAAAATCGACGTATAATTTTTCTTTGAATAAATTTTTAAATAAAAGTTACAAACATTTGGAATAATTTGTATAGAAATATTTTCCATCATGGCGATGGAAACACGGGTAAGTTGGAAGAAAAAAAAAGATTTTTTTTTTTAGTGAGTGTGTTTAATTTCATTGTCTAAAACCAAAAAGAAAGAAAGCAAAAATTATTTTTGTGTCCTTGTGAAAAATTAAATTAAAATAAGAAGAACAAAACAAATTGTGTCCTAATTAAATTCTAACATAAATTTTCAATTTTTTTTTTACATTTCAAATCTCATTTAACAAAAAATTTACAAAATTTTAATAGTATTGATTTTAATTTACTTTACTAATAATTATTTAATCAATGTCCTTTAAATTTTCAAATTTGCATTAGAATTTTAATATTAAATAAGAATAAGCCATCGTTTATCACTTAAATTATTAAAGTATATGTGAATGTGTTATTGAAGTACTTTAATAATTTGTCAGTAGAATTGCCATATTGAAATTTGAAAGAAAATAATTAAATTTACTAACAAATTACTAAATTATTAAAGAAATCATTATAATCATGAGTCACATTTAAAATTTAACTTATCTTAGATTAAAAAAATCGTATTAGATTTATTGAAGTATCTATATACTTGTATTTTGTATTTTTGTGTGAGTTTTTTAATTTCTACTTGTGAATTTTAATTGTTAATATGAAATTATTAAAGAAATTAATATATTTAAGGTTCTTTCCCCAAATATTCCATAATATTTCAAGCAATTATAAAATCAAATCCAAAAATATTATTATATGTACTTATATTAGAAATTATAAATTGAATTATGGTTGAGAGGATGACATTCAAAAATTAATTGATATGATTATAAAATACAAATGAATTACAGTAAAATATCGATTGTTATAACAATAATATTAGATTTATAATTTAAAATAAAAAGTAAATATGATTGTTGAATGTTATCCTAATTGAATAGCATTAAAAGTTCGAATGAAGTACATTTATATTTTTGTTATATTTAAATAAAATTTAGTATTCTTATTCAAATGGACAGGTTTAACTAGATATTATAATGATAATCGTCCATTATTTGTTTGTATGTTCATCTTAATATCTTGTAAGAATAATTTACATTCGTCAGTGTCCATCAAAAATTTCTGGATTCTACTGTAAGGACATAATAATATTAACAAATTATTATTTATTTCATTTCGGATGTTAGATAATTCTATGATTAATAAAATAAATTGATAAATCGAATAAAAATTATTAATAAAATTAAGTATTTTGTATCAGTTAAACCACGGAAATTTTAAAATTTAATCTTTTTTATTACCACACTTGTATTAAATTTCAATCCGTACCGTATATTTCAATTTCACACGTATATACGTGCAATTTCAATTGAAAAATATTTAATTATTTTATTTTTGAAGTGTGTTCTTGATCTTTCAAATTAATTATGATGTTTTTTTGAAAATTGAAAGTAAATATTTACAGTGTCATGAACACAACTTAATTTTGTTACAAAATTATGAAATCCGACTCTACATATCTTTGTTTTCATTTCAAATCGAATCAGAATGTTGAGTTAAAAGTTTGTTAAATAGCAGATAATATATAATAATAATGTACAAATTTGTTATACTTGAATATTCATATAAAATTTCAAATTCGAATTCGAATTCAAATTTACTCAAATAAAATACCATCCGCATGCAAATTCAATTCCGTATTCGAATTAGGACTAAAATCGGGATCCAAATCCAAACCCGAATTCGAGTCCAAATCCGCATCCTAAGTCTAAGCCTGAGTTCGAACTCAAATCCGAAATCAAGTCCCAACTCTAATCCGCATACTTGAATCGAAATGCAAGTTAGAAGCCGAAGTCCGAGCCCGAATCAGAATGTCAATC